CTTGTACTAACGTACGGAGTGAACGCAGCTCCAGTGTGATAGTACTTAACATGGTTTCCTTATTAGGTGTGGTCGTGTGTGTACTTGTAGGCGCTGTATTGTGTATAGGAGCAGGTTGGGAGGCAATGCTAGCCCAGCTTACCGTAGGGGTGGCGAGGGTGAGACTGGGTTGCCGCTGCTGAAGGGGGGGACCATCCGAAGCCTCGGGTGCCGCAGATCCCAATAGTAGCTCCTGGGGCTGATTCTTGCGTCACTGCTTTGATCGGCTGCGTGAGCCACGACGATTCGAGGTTGGACTGAAACTGCGGATGCGGGTGTCGCTAGGCTTCACCTCTTGGCGTTCCGGATGAGCATCTTGCGTGGAAATCATGGTTGAGAGGTGCTGTTGTTGTTAGAGCTTAGCTTTTTCTTGGCGGCGATAAATGAGAAGGCGAGGTGTCTGGTAGCATTGAGGACAGGTTTTGTCACCTGTCTGGAGGGCTTGGCCGCACAGAAGACACTTAAGGGTGCATGGATGAGCAGTAGCAGGGTTGGCCGTGCCACACAGCGTGCAGATTATGGCATTTGGTTTGGGGCAGACATCCCAGCGGTGGCCGACTGACCCGCATTTGTCGCAGACTTCGGTGCGCTTCTTATGTAGGTAACATTTGTATTCGGCTCCTCGATAGTAGACATGGAAAGGGACTTGGTTGCCAGCGAATACAATTAGTACCGTGTTTAAACGTCTTGCCCATTCGACGAGCTTGCAGTATCGTGGGGTTGCAGTCATTAACAAGACTTGCTGAGATGTCTCAGGAGAGTCGTAGGGGGAATATTGTGGATCACTCCCTTTGCTCTGTTCTCAGGGGAAGTAACTTAGGCTCGAACGTCATAGGTTTCAGTTTCCACCTGTAGTTTGGAGATCCGACTGTAGATTTCTGCGTTGGATAGATGAGGTGTGCTTACTACGATGAGATTAGCTTCAACGCATGTGCGGTAAATGTCCTCTTTGAGTAGCGTTGCGTGCAGATCCACTTCGCGTAGAATAGCATCGCGCAGTTGTGCTTCCCCCACTTTGGAGAGATCGAGGTCATGGCCTCGAGAGAATCACAACTTTTACGTGATCATCTGGCAGATGCGGTTGCCTGGGTTTGCGAGGGAGACGCTGGGCAGATCCGTTCAGCATTGGAGTATCGGACGCGCTTCCCTGGCCAGTTGGCGATGCCGTAGCGTTCGATGCATGCTTGCAGTTGCTTGTTTCGGTGGACTAGAGATCCATCCGGCTTCGAGGGTGGCGTCTTCAGGGGCGATCTCAGTTTCTTCGACTTCGACCACTTCCATGGTTAACACTGCTGCGATTTCTGAAGGTCGGGCTCAACGTGGGCGAGTCAGATGGAGTTGGGTGGCATCGGCGTCGCGGCGAGGAGCAGCTGTTGTGGCAGCCGCCATGCCAGCGTCGGGCGGCAGCGAGCAGTGCGAGTTCGTCGTTGCGGTTAGCGTCTCTATCACCAGAGTCAGGAAAAGCTCGCTCAGCCAAAAATCTTCCTTGTACTGTAGTCGGGGGATAGTTGTATTGGGCGCTGGGGTGGTTCTAGTCGTCGACAAGGGCGATTGAAGATATCCAGAAGTAGGGGTTCAACGCTGCCTTTCCACATGCAGGAGCGAGTGGGTGTGCTGCTGCTCTGCCAGTCCAGCACTAGGCCAGTGAAGAGCTCAATCACTGCACCCACGCAAATGTGGGACGAGTGCCGCGCGTCATCCACGAGCTGTCGTACGAGACTGCAATAATGTCGGCTTATTCAATATGTAGCTCCTTGTACAGCTCGCAAACTCGCCCATCACTTTTTCGGCCGCGCGATTAGCTGCAGGTGTCAATTTTTGCTTCACATATTTCTGCCATGTTTTCTTGTGAAGTCCGCGATGAGATATATTCATGGTCGAAAATATATCATTCATAGCCGCTTGATGGTTCCCTGTAGCCTGCATGGCTCGAGCGGCGAGAATATTGACGGTGAACGAATTCACTTTTTGTGCGCCATCCACTCGCAGAGATCTGCACGCTTGCGCGATGTCGCCACAGTTCACGCAAGGCGCACACATCTTCACGGCAAGGCCGTATTGCCTCTCCTGTCTGTGAATACTGACGCTTCCGTGGCAAATTTTACATCTCATGGCATCGAGCAGTTGACCGATGCAGCCAAGATCGGCGATCAAAAAACTTGCCTTCTCTTCGCTTTGCTCCGGGGGAGCGGCGCCGGCCGGTGCGTCGTTCCTCAAAAACTCAAATTTTCTCTTCGACGCGGCCGTCGATGTCAGTTTCCTGCAGCCTCGAATCGGCCTTTGTACGCCTTACCTGCAGCTTCGATTCCGTTAGCAAGGTTATGTCACGGTGGACGCGGCCGCTGCTTTGCGAAGCGTTGTTGGCTGGCAGACCCACTAGGCCTAACTCCCCGTTGACTGTCTCGGGCGCCTCGGCGATTCCTTCGCCGTCGGCGGACGCGGACAAGATGGCGGTCGTGAAGTCTCGAGGCGCGCAATGTTCATCTGCACGTTCCAATGATGGATGTGCCGGCGATGCCTCAGATTTGGGAACATCGCAGGATGGCAGCAAGGCCATCAAGCTTGCGGCGGCGGCATCGGCGGGTGACCCATCCCGTTCTTCATTGACGCTACTCGCCAAAAGATGCGCCTTGAAGTTGTTCGCCTGAGCCTTTGTTCTTTTTTTACCAAACTTATGACGGGTGTGAAACTTTCGCGATGATCCCGGCATTGCAATAACTTACGCTGTCAAAGCACAGGCGGTATGGCGGCACAACACGTTCACGCGTTGTTGACGCGCCGAGCAGACGATTCGAGCCCAATCAGCCAATGAAGTAGCCACCTCATGGTCACGTGCACTCAACAACCAATAGCGTCGCGTACATTGCTTTTTTTCGGTTGCTTTTTTTTTCGGCAACCAATGAGCGCAGCAAGGTTGCAAGTGGTGTTTTTTCGTCAAATTCTGTGCAGATCGAGCTCGCGAGTCATCTTTGTAATAATATAACAAGTCAATTATTGCTTTCTGGAGTTTGAAAATTGGCAGGCAAGTGTAAAAATGCTTGCAGAATTCAGAAATGCCATTGAAAAAAAAACTTTTTTTGTGATGTTTCGGTCCCAAAGGCCCGTCCGTCCCCTTAAATTCCGTGATGTTCATTCGAAGCGCGAGGGTTTCCGCTTTTTGTTTCAAGATGCAGCCCGAGACTGGCAACCGCTTGGAAATCATTGAATTAAGCCACACAACGAGAACGTCCTCAAGCTTTGGATGAACACCTTGGCTTGCATTCACCTTTTGGGCACCAGACGGTTTTTCGGCTGCTTTCAAGATCTTGTCTTTGTTCCTCAGGAAATCGGAAACTGTTTGCTTGGAAATGCCGAATTCCTCGCTCGCGTCAGCCTGTGATCGGGCACTCTTCACTAACTTAATAATGGCGGCTTTCTTCTCCATCGTTCTTCACTAACTTAATAATGGCGCCTTTCTTCTCATCGTTAACCGACGATACTGTTTTCCGCGCTTCGATGCCATCGGCGAGGACGACGAAGGCGGAGTAGGGGCCATCGCAGTCAAGCGAAATCCTCACGATGTGAACAAAGGAGTTTGCTGACAAGAGTTGAAGCACCTAGGCTTAGCGTTGCAGAGCACACTTCAGACGATCGCACAACCACACACTAGGCTAGCCAAACACCATGTGGGCTGCGTAAACAAAACGGCGCTGACGGCAGGCTACGGTGCCTTGGTTATTCCGGAGGAAGGCGCTGGTAAACATTCAAGATAGCCAGCGTGGCCAGACTGAATCGGTGTGTGACTGCTAGTTCTAGTCTGAAGTGGTGAAAGAACGCTTTCGCGAAAGCGCTGAGCGGGAAGCCAGAGTGGAAGCACGAGCACAAGTGCTAAAGCGAAAGGAACTTTATTGGCAGCCAAAAAATTTCCAGGTGGATAGTTTCGATTGTCAGCAAAGCACCCTTGCACGATAAACATGGCCGGTGTTAGAAATATCGGAGGCCATGTGTGTTTCTCCGCTAACGATCAAAGAGTCCAAGCAACAGATGTCGCCACAGTAGACCGGCGCGCTAATTTATGTGATCGTAATCGCGTGTGACGCAGTTGTGGTGGTTTCCGCTGGAGGTCAGTGGTGGTTTCCGACCTTCCGTTGCATCAAAAAGTCCGGAAAATTGGACTCCGGGGGCTCAAGCATTCGAAATTTCAGGCTTCCTTATACATTGATTCTATGGGGCCTGTGGCGGTGCCGCGAAGATGTCAGAATTATCTGGCATGTTCGAAAATTCGGGTGTCCAAAAAATCGGCAGTTGACTATTTTTGGTATGTTTGTAAGCGTGCAAAAATATGTGCGCTTATGGGTTGTCTACCGTGGATGCAGTACGCATATTAAAATTGCTGCTAGCGACATGTGCTCCAAAAGCCAGTTTTGCTGCTTTAAAATGCATTTTTTTCCTGCTCCAAAACAACCTAAGCCAGTAGCAACACTGCTATCACTGCTATAGCAGTTTGACGTGTATGCAAATACTATTTATATATATATTATATATATATATATATATATATATATATATATATATATAATATATATATATATATATTATATATATAAAAATTACCTCTGAGTGTTGAATATTTTCTTATACAAAAATTGTCACTGTCGTGGTTGGGGGCACCCACATGTCATTGACGTTGTCAGTACTGTAACTGATCATACTGTGGTCACTACTTGCCATCGTTGCTATCCTCATTCATCGTCATTATTTGTGTCACTATCATCATTGTCTTTGTGATTGCTGAGTCCTTGCCAACACCACATTCTCATTTAAGACAGTTCACCAGTCTTGCAGTATTGTCCACACAGACGTTGGGTCTGGAAAGAGCTATCTGAATAGCTGTTGCCAATGTCAATGAGTCTGGTGCTAGTGTAGTTTTTGAAGGTTTGCCCTCCAAACACTTTTTTCTTCTTTTTTTTTTTTGCCTACAGTGTGGATACGAACAAGGAGAGGTTTGCTCCGAACCGAGGGGCTGTCCTAGTCTTCCTTCCCGGTGAGTCGAGCTCTGACGGTCGGGGCACATCTTGCCAGTAGGTTAAGTTATATGGTCGTAATTCAAGAACGGTCGTAATTGACCCCGCTTCGAAGATTCACGATGCGGGCGTATTAAGCTTGGCTATAAATGTTGGCTGGTTAGGAACATTCAGGTACGGTGGTACTGCTGTCGTACGCAGGTGATGGCTGTTGAAGGAAAAACCTACCGTGGATTCCTGCGAAAAACACGTAAAATCAGATGATTGATTTGGGACGTACGTGATTGTGCTGCCTTGAAGTGAGCTGAAATATTGGCAGAATGATTATGCTGTATGACATAAACAAGTGGTTCATAATCTGAGAAAAATTAGACAGTGACTGCAGAAATTGGAAGAATGCACACATGCGAAATATGGGTTCTATTCATGGAATTAAGGTCTATCTTTTTTGTTAGGTCATCAGTAAACTGTTGGGAAACAGTGACATTTCGTTCGTGGTCATTTCGTTGCAGAGTCCCAAGGATAGGAGCGAATTCTTCAATCTTGTTAAAGGTTGCTAGCGCTCCTTCTTCCTACCGCCACTATTGAGGGGGGACATGGGTCCTAGGGCTCTCTCATTTATTTTTGAACCAAATGTGACAAAAGTCGGCATGATTCCTTAGTTTTTTCTCCTGATTCTAAAAAATGTAGTTTTTTCTGTAGCTTCATTAGTTAATTAAATAATTAAGATAACAATTTCTATTGTTCTTACCACAATAAAAAAAAACACCTGTAAAAAATTTATAAATGGCATAGAGATTGACTGTAGAAAGCATAAGACATACAACATAAGAACTTTTTTGATTGGGTCATTATTTCTTACTTTACACTAAACTTCACAGCTCTGAATGTGGCCATTGTGTGGTCACACAAAAGACTGATTCAAAAAACTTCTATCAAGAGAAATCAAAATCTGCTTCCTATGTTGTGTGCTCCAAACATGTAGCTTCATGCTTCAAAAAAAAATATTTTGATATCTGTAATAGTTTACGATATATTGCAGGAATGTTCATGCAGGGTGTACAAAATTGGCATTTTGAGAAAATCAAGAAAACAAAAAATTCTAACATTCTTAACCGTAAAAATGTATGTACTTAGAATTACATAGTCATTCACATATATATGAATGCTAGAAAGCCTAAGGAGTGCAACGCGGCAAACTGATAGAAAATTGAAAGAGTACTCCTCGAATTACAGCACAGTAAAGTTCATTGCATGTAACCAAATACGAAAATTTTTATAATAAAATAAAAAAAATGAAGCCGCCCATTAAAAATCGGCTCTCAGCATTTTTTGTGCACATTTAGCTACATTGTGCAAAAACAATCACAGCTCTAGCTTGTGGGAATTGAGGCTGGCCCGCTGCCTTTGCGCGGGCTTTGCCGCCTCTTTTCTCATGTCCCGACATGCCTACCCTCCTTTGCTGTCTGCCGCGCTGGGAAGGGCGGAGTGACGTTTAACTCCCTCACCCGGTAGCGGATGTTGACTGTGGCGCCGCGCGGGGAGCCTCCCGAGAGGTTTTCGCGCGCTGCGTCGGGAGCGGAGAGTACAGTCCGGGACTTCAAACGGTGAGCCACGCATTGTTTTCCGTCCGTCGAGTCCCGTTGCTCGGGGCTCGTCGGACTTCGCTGACGGCGCCTCGCGCCCGATGCGAACGCTCACCTTTTGTTGCCCCGCTGCGTACTCACGGCCGAAGGGCAGTACGGTGTCCTAGTGCGTGGCCTAGCTACGCCGACCCGTCTCCCTTCGAAGCCAACGCGAGCGCCTTTGCCCTCGCTCGAGCAACCGGGCCCCTTTGTCCTGGTGTTTCCGTGGATTACCTTTACCGCGGAGACGTGCTCGTGGCACCCTGTGTAGTACTTTGTGCCCGTGGCGTGGATAAGCCTACTTGCTTTCCCGCCGCGCCTTTTTGCAACGGGCTGTACTGCGTTTGGTGTTGCCACAATAAAGTGTTGCGACTTGAGCAGTATCGTGTTTCCCGCCACGGCGACGGTTAACGCGTGCCCTGCGGCTCGCTAAGACCGGACCCACGCTGGTGGCCGTACTCCTTCGGGATACGTGTACACCACAAGCTGTCCTAGGTCCACTTTTACCGAACAAGCAAAAGAAAGTGGTCAAAATCTGTGCTTCGAGAATAATGCTGTTAAAACTTTATTTCGCCGTTCCGAGAGAAAAATATCATGGCACACATACTTTTAGTCAGTTAATATGCACCGGGAATGTAATAGGACTGATTGTTTGCACGAGCGTGTCATTTCTTCTAGTCCTGTAGCAAGTTGTCGCCGTGTGCTCGTCTGCCGCGAGGCTGCTGATCAGTTCGGTGTCTGTACCGACGGCGATGTGCGACAATTGTGCGCGCGTCATTCGCGATCCATCGAATATCACGGCGACGTTTTCCGGCTTGTCCAGAATGAGTTATCCGTAAATGTCGCGAACCAAAGTTGCTCCCTCGCTCATCAATTTCGAGGCTACACGAGTGCCGAGGTGATAGTTTCCTTTTCACGCAAGACTGTCGCATTTTCGAGCGGAGATCGCGACAACGTTGCGAACACGTCATGAAAAGCAGCCTACCAGTTGCCAGTAGCCTCCATTGCGGGGGCGGCGAGCATGTTCACCGCGAACAGATTGACTTTCTGTTGTTCGTGGACGTGCGGCATACTCCACTCTGACGACCCGTCGCGCAGATCAAGGTCCTTTCGTCATGCGGGGGAACCGCAGCATCGGCGTGTTTAGCGATAAAACTGCGCTTCCGTTCCTCAACTACGAAGATTGATATCTCTTGTAGCTTCACTTCTGCTTTTTACTTGCCGTCCCCTAACTGATGAGGCTGCAAAACATAGCCATTCTCAGTAACGTTGTTGGCAACCAATGGGCTCGTACGTGAGTTAGGCCTACACCGGTCACTCGGCGATCGCCGTTGACCGTGTCGACTTTGTTATTCTCGTCGTCCCGAGCCATAGCGGGGCTCTTTCTGAAGTTCACAAAGAACGAACGACCGCCACACCCGCCTCACAAATTACTGTAGCACGGAACTTCTTTACTGCCGCAGGCAGTCAGTAGCACCATGACAAAATGGCGCATGTCCGTGCGCGTCACGATGGTGAAGCAGACGCCCAAAGCGCTCCATGGCTAATCGGACGCCCAGGTTTTGTCACATGCCCCAAGCAGCCAATTGAATTGTGCACTAGTGCTTCTCCATGACACGTTTGTTCTAAAAAAACAATGAGCAAGGAGAGCCAGCGGTGGCGGGAAATTGAAGATGAAGAGTGGCTCTTCCAAACGAGACCAAGAAGAACACGATAGCTCGTGTGTAACGGCAACAGTTCGGCGCGGAAAAAGCGCGATTTTAGCGTCAATTTGCACTCACATTCATCTCACAGGGATGTTATAACTTGATATTGCGCCAGAAATAATGACGCGAGAAGCTGGAAACTTCTCAGATGTGTGCAAAAATAGGTACAGATTCCGAAAATGTCAGCTTCAAAAAGTTGATTTTTTTTTTGCGATTTTTGGCCTTCAAAGATCTGTGTCCCCCTTTAACTGCACACACTCTCGTCCGGACCGCAGGCCCTGCACCTGTGGATCTTGTGACCACTGATGCATTGCATGTACTAAGATGAGGTCTTAATTTTCACGGTTAATCGTCCTAGTCGACAGGTATCATTAGGTCATGTAATTACCATTTGTCTTATTGCGTACTTACTGCCTTTTTTATTCGTTTTTTTTTTTCAGGCTATGAAGAGATTGCTGTACTCACTGAAATGCTTCGAGATGACTGCGTTTCGCTGAGGTATGGGAGTCATCTTCCTGTTTGAAATACAGTAAACCCTGAAAAATTGTACAAGCTTAATGATACATTGTATTAGCATATTTGTGGTGAAAAGAAATGTGATTGAAGTTTAGTTCATGTACAGAGTGGCCCACTGTCAAAAGAAACGCCGGAGTGCGTGTCGTCTGCTTGGCGCCTCCGCCTGCCGGCTGCGGAAACTGGGATTGCGCAGGAGCAGTGAGCGCTGTTGGCGGCGCTTGTTTGTCGTCTGCCACAGTTGCGCCATTATTTATTCACCAAAATGATTTTTTATTCACCAAAAATTATAATTGGGTAGTAATTTAGATGATCCAGTTTCATTTCAGCTTTGCCACAGCTTTCCATCCTAGTGTGGCCATGCAGCACGCACACAAATTTCAAAGAGTGGTGCCTGCTGGCTTCACATCGAGCTGAAGCGCAGTCGCAACTGTAGCAGACGAAAAACGAGCGCCGCCCACAAACCTTCCTGCTCCTGCGCGAAACTAGTTGCCGCAGTTGGCCGGCGGTGGCACCGGGCGGACGACACGCGCTCCAGTGTTCCCTTTAAAAGTGGACCTTTCTTTACAAAGGCTGCCGTCTGTATAAGGCGGTCCACTCCAATCAAGCTGCCACTTTGCAGCTTTTTTGTCTGGTCATCTTTGCAACCTTGTGTCAGTATGGGTTGATTTTAATTATATTTATATGCTTGATTGTTGCGAAACACCGCAGTTGTCAAGTTTGCTTTGTCAAGTTTGCTTTGCTTTTTTTTTTTTCAGTTTTAGACTTCATTGACTTGAAGTGTGTTTTTTTTTCCTTCCTTTTTTTTTTTTCTATAGATGGAAGGTGCTTCCTCTGCACTCCACGGTGACTCAGCAGGAACAGCAGTCGGTCTTTCTGGCGCCTCCCAAGGGTCACCGCAAGGTAGACTGAGGCCTGAATAAATTATGTGCATATCATTGTAAAACAAAATATCGGTTGCTATATATTATTCCAAGTATATTATTCCAGAGTCTTGTAAGTAATAGTATTAAAATACAGTAGACTTTCAGTAAACGGAAATCTGTTTTACGGAACTGCTGCTTAAATGGAACAAATGCTTCTGACAAGATTGGTTTGGTTCTTGCATTGTGTGCCCCTGTTCATCTCTCAGTAAACGGAACTCTGTTAAACAGAACACATTTTACTGGTACCTTCTGGTTTCGTTTAATGAGAGTCTACTGTACACATAAAAAGGTTTTTCGCTATGGCAAATTATTATAGTGAAATATTTGTTATAGCAAAATATTGGTCATGACAATGTGTGCTATGACGAAGCTTTGCTGTTGGAAATTCATCTGTTTAATGAAATTTGTTTATATTTTTTGGAAAGAGAATTTTATTGTGCACAGTTTGGTGTCCTGCAATGTGTGCTGGAGTACTTTTCAAGCTGGCGAAAACGTTTTTCCCGACACGCATCAAAAATAACTGTTTTCGCACGGTAACGAAAGAGTCAAGGTTAAATGATGTTACCCATTTTTCAAAGCGACCCTGCAGCACTTTTTCAAGCAGCTGCCGAATAGATTCACTACAGGAGCTCATTGCCCCACAGATTTACCGCAGAAAAATTTCCGAGAGTATGTCCAGTACGAGCAGAGATATAAAAAACTAGTCGCCCGCTGCAATTGCATTCTCTTTTCTCTCGTACCGACCAAAGCGCAAGCAGGGCGGGATGGGAGGAGCAAACAAAAAACGTCACGCGTGCCTCGAGACCTTGGGCACTTTTTCTTTTTCTTCCGAATGCACGGCTTTTCAGTGCGATCGTGCACGCCTGCATGGACAAGTCGCGTAATCCTGCAGCGGTTCCTGCAACATCCGAGCGCGCCATACTTCAATCGGCCAATGCCTGATACAACAGCTGTGACGAGTGATTTTTTGAGCTTTTTCCCGTCAGTTGTAGAGGGAAGCTTAATAAGTTTCTAGCCGACTTTGAGAACTCTCTGTAAATTGCAGGTTGTGTGCTGCGCTGTAATATTTGGCTCTCATGTTTTCGGGAGCCTCTGCTACTACCGATCGGCAGCAATTTTTGACTATGCTCCTGAAATGTTGCATGCTTAAGAAGTGTTGCAGCGGCCCCTTTAAGAGCTTGTTACCGACCTATACCATAGTTACGCGATTGTAGGTCAGCCCATTTTATCTTAATTTGAATCGAGTGGCTATCTAATTGAATCCGAAGTTGTGGGGGGGGGGGGGGGTGTCGACCTACATTCGAGTCGACTTAAAATCATGTAAATACGGTATGCTTCGAGTGTATAAAAATTTTAAAAAGTAAGAGATTTTATATACTTGCATAGTACCCAAGTTTGAATCCTGCTGCTATTCAAGGTTTTTTCCACCTTCTTTGGTGCACAAAAGTGGCATTTGTGCTGGCCTTGTTTAAATTTTTAAAAGCACTGTGCAGGTTAGTCAGGGGACGACAAATATGCCCTTTATAATATGTGATATATATATACTCTATTCAAAATTATTCGATCAAAATTATTATTCTCTTTGAATTCGCATCAAACCCAAAATGCACTATTCGCACAAGCCTAGTAGTAATGACCCATAACAGCTAGTAGCCCCTTTTTAATTGTGGTACACTTTTCTACATGATACCAGATTACTGCAGTGAAAGTCTGTTGAGCATTTAGTTGTGAAAGATGATCAGAAAAATTTTAGAACTGCTATTCTTTGTTGTTATTTTCTTATCGTGGTCATGTTTGGGTTGTTTTTGGGATGATTTACAGCTGTGCCTGCACAATAGGGCAGGTTTGCTCAAAATACGGCGATCTCCTGTGCAAATTGGAGAGTTGGCAGGTCTGCACATCCCCAACAGTTGTGCATTCTAATATTGCGAGGCCTCGCTTTTTCGGCAAGACCATCCGTTTCGTTTTTTAGTTCGCATCCGCCTTTCATAGGATATCTGATTGCGTGTACATGGCTTACATCAATGTGGCAGGAACATGTAAAACGATGTTGCCTTGAATGCATCAGCGACGCGGTATGATGATGCTGCCTCGAGCACTGCAGCACGTGTCGACGCTTCGAGGGGGGAAAAAAAAAGAAAGCGCGCAATGGCAGTGTCATTCGTTATCTAAACCCGAAAGTTGAAGCCTTCAGGATTTGCGCATGCAACTGCAGATGCTACAACATGTCATTGATGGCCTATTCTGACAAACTAGCGGTGCGCTACGCATGCCCGCGCATCAGTTCCTGCGCCTGCGGGTCGTTGGCATGTTTTCTATGACAGCGCGACGGTGCCTGCTCACACCTGGGCAGTAGCGTAGGTTTGTATGAAATGTAATGGGGGTGAGAATTGGTTCACAACGACCATACACTATTGCATTGCAGACTCAGGGGCACAGGTGGGACCACAGAAAAGATCGCATCATCCCAGAATACGTACAATCGACGATCGTATCACCGATTCTTTACTTGCATATAGCTAGGCATGATACTCTCGTCAGTATGAATTGCTACTTTTAAAATTTTGCAGCTGTCCCCAATGTCCTTTAAGCTAAATTTCTAAACGTAACATTCGAAGCAGGCATCGGTTAAATGTAGTTGCAGAGAAATAAAAAGCTACAACAGTAGACACTAGTTTACGTAAAGTTTTGAAGCCTACATCTGTTGAATGTGGTTACAGAGAAATCAAAAGCTACCACAGAAGACACTAATTTGATCGATCTTAACTCGCGATGAACACAGAGGCAGCATGTTTCAGCTTCGCTCATTAACCATTGGTATAGAGTGCTTAAGCCTTCCTTTTTCTTTTTCGTGGTAGGTCTGTAAAGAAGAAATACATGATATATCCACTTCAATAAGAATTCGAAGTTCAACGTCTCGAAAAGCTGTTTAATGAAACTTTGCACGATTTATGATGTTTTCAGGTAGACTTGCCAGAAAGCCTTGAAAGTTGCACGTGCACTTAATGGCATGGGGTGCCGAATATGCAGGAACTTGCTGCTCAAGCAAGCTTGTGCACTGCAAGCACTCCAAACATTGGGCACGGTTGAAGAAGCCGGCTGGAGGAAACGGTTTGAAATAACCAGCGTCGGTGTGAGGGCTGTACCTAGTCGAAATCACTGAAACTAAGAGTGCTGCCCCAAGAGGAGTGCAGACAGTGCATCCAGGAGCGAGCTGTGTGTGCTGATGTCACTTACTAAATCTTGGCGTCTTTCTGCAGATCATCCTTTCCACCAACATCGCGGAGAGCTCCATCACTGTTCCCGACATCAAGTATGGTGCGTATGAATTTGGTTGAGGCACGTTGGCAGGCTAGGCCGTTGTACCTTTACAAACCGCACTTGACGTCGATGAGTGCAGACGCCAATGCGAGGAAGACAAGGATGTCCTTGTCTCCCTCGCCTTGGCGTCTGCACTTCCTCCCTATCTCTCTCGCACTAATACCGCTTCGTCGAAATGTGCACAACCATCTAGAGCCAAACAGTCCATTCTACTCTAGCTAGTGTTCTTTCACAGTACAATGTGTTCCGAAGAGGGACAGAGAAAATCTTTTCTCTTTCGTTCTCGTTTGGTTGGGCTTACCACTTTGCATTGCGTATACTCCAAAAAGTTATAAAGAAAAAGGGTGTTTTTTTGTTCTAGAACAGTAATTGTCAACTGGCTTGCGTGTGGTTTTTTTTCTTGAAAACTCTGTGCTGGCCACTTTCCCTTGAGGAATGCTGCATCGCACTGATAGCCTACAGGCCGGTGACCTGAAAGTGCGGGATGCGCAGTGACAATGCTAGGAAATGAATGCAAGACAGATGATAATTATTCTTGTGGGACGAAACAGCGGCCTTTTTGCTCTGCCATTTCTTAGTGTGTACGTTGATACGTGAACGACTGCTGGCACCAATGGAAAGCTTCCAGTTTCGTGCAACATTTTGTTCACTGCATGCCAGCGTAAACTAAGTCTCTTTCATTACAATAGCAGTTCATAGGCAGTAGAGATAGTACTTGTAGATAGACACTTCCGTGCCACTCCCTCAACGTTCCTGGTTGTGTGGGAGTCAACGGTAGAGGTTTATGTCTGTGCCACTCACTGCCTGGCCCGCCTTTATTGCATTGTCACGGGGGTCGTGATGTTGATCGAGGCAGCAGTTCGAGTTTTCAATACTGGGCTTTTTACCTGGAAAGTAAAATGTCACTCTACTGGTAACACAGTGTCTGCTGTCGACAGTCTGTCCAGCAGGGAGGCGCATGGGCGTTTAAACATGAGTCATCGAAGATTCCGTCATTATTGATAGTGGGCGCATACGTTCCAAAACAAACTCTAGCGTTCGTGTTGCTCGCATAATTTCATCACAAGGTTCTAAAATTATCTAAATGGTTTTGTGTCATTCAGGTGCAGTTTGCGCAAGACACCAGTTACACGTGTAATGAGGTGGTAACATAAAAACATGAAGAAATGAGCATGTGTGGCAGTAATGGTACACTCAAACCTCGATATAACATGGATATAAGGAAATATCGGTTATAACAAAGTAAATTAAAAGTAGTTTTGCTATGGATACAGTGTTTGAAATTACCTTTATAACAAATTTTTCTATATAACAAACTCATTTTTTGTTAAGTGCAACTTTGTTGAAATGAGGTTTGAGTGTAGTTGATGCATTCCAAGTTGCAGGCCTGCAGAGGTGCAACGAGCAGTTGCACTCTTTTCCCAGTTGTGGCTGCTGCTTGTGTGCTCTATTGAACAGTACTAAATTTCTTCTGTAAGACAACACAATAAGTGTTTGTCGAAAAAGTCTCTTTCAGGAAAGTTGAGGGGCAATGTAGACTGCTGAGACGAATGCTACGTTTACAAGTGTTCGTGATGAGGCAAACCACGCTGCGTAAAAACAGCAAGCATACTGAAAACCAGACGCGACGATATTTCAGTTCATTGTTTTGGCAGTGATGCGTAATGCGATGCGGGAAATATCGTTGAAGGGCTGAAACATCTAACAGTGCGTGAAATGCCTGTACGCCTTGTAAACTTTTGATGTTGGACAAAGAAAATAAATGCGCACAATGTTTTTGCCATTTCCTCAGCACTATGTAGATTGGATTCTGATAAATCTTAAAGTTGAAATGTTTTCAATGCTCGACCAAACTGACTAGTCGGAACTGCATGTCTTACATTTACGGTGAAGAAGCAATAATATACATGAAAGAGAAACCTAAAGGATATGAGAATGCTGTGCGCCTTTTGTCTTTTCGTTTTCTTTTTGCTAGGTCTTAATGATAGGTTTCGAAAATTCCGAAGAAGGTTGGGTGGGCCCCTGTGTATATTTATGCAAAGCGCACGGCTGTATTGGTATTTATGTTTGTACAACTGCATTAAAGGTTGTATTAGTCTTTTTTTAATATGATACCCGGTCTTATTTTGCTTTTTTCATTGATCTAGTTGTGGACTTTTGCCTGACCAAGTGCCTGGTTTGCGACCCGGACACCAAATACTCGTGCCTCAAGTTGGAGTGGGCCTCGAAGGCCAACTGCAAGCAGAGGCAAGGTCAGCACCATCTTCACAATTTGCATCTGTTCTCAAATTATTTCCAAGTTGAACAAATTATTTTTAATGTGAGATATCAAAAGAACAGTTGTCGTAGTGTGCCAAATAGTTGCTGGTTTTTTATAAACAAACAAAAAAGCTTTTCTTTATAGCCACATGCACAGCTTAAGCTCAATGTAACAGACCTCAATGTAAAGACATTCATCCCTTTCATGGATCCGTGGTTTTGTGGATTACATAAGTCGTAAAAGAATAGAGTTTTTTAGTCTCTCGGGTAAAACTGAGAACATGATAATCAACATTTATTGCTGCAGTCATTGTTTTGTAGAATGCCCGTGTATTGGAACACGGCATCAAAACTTCCTGTTTATTAACTGGCATGTGCAATACAGTCGAGTCCACATATAACGGCCCCACTTAAAACGAACTTTCGCTTAAAACGAACAATATCCGCGTGACCATGAAAATATACATTGGTTCAATGGCACAAAATTGCACTTACAACGAACGTCTCCGAGCGCCGCTGATCGGTTACAGCGAACGGAGTCAGCGGTCTGCCGACTTCCCGGGAAGCCAATTTCGACCATTGATCAGGCATCGGCGAGGTGCCCATACATTCTTATTGTTAAACGCTGACCCTGCCTCCGTGCCCCTCTAGTTGCCGCTCTCCCTGACTACTTTTGTTACGCACCCCTCTGTCCTTTGTCCCCCTGCTACTCTGAGCACCCCGCATTGCCAGACGAGGCCCGTGTTTTCACACTGCAACCGATCTTTCCAAGACCGGTTGGCAACTACCCCGTTTTTGATCGCTGGTACTGTCGTTGACGTCACCGGCCTGGAGTGACCAGACCATTTGCCAACATCGTCGGCCACCGACTGTATCCGATAGTCTGCGTCTAGTGCACGCGCAAAGGCTACCCCACCGACTCTGATAATTTGCAATTCGTTTCGTGTTTAGGACTTGTTCTTGCTCACTTCGCACTCTGCTCAGCATGCCTTCTGTGCGCGTGCGGAAGCACGAAAATGGCTCGTGCGCGTGCGGAAGCACGAAAACGGCTCGTGCGCGTGCGGAAGCACAAAAACGGCTGTTAATTTGCACAAAACAAATCACTAAATATCGAAGTTCGTGAGGCCGCACAAACCCACCGGCGCAACAAAACGATTTTTTCACCACGGCCGCCGATTCTTCGAACACCGTCTCGCGCGCCCATTCAGGCGGCCGTGCACTCTTTCCAAGTTTTTCTACGTGCGAGTTTCGCGGACCTTTCAAGCAAGCTACCCAACCTGCCTCCTTCCCCTGTGTTTTGGTTTTCAAGGTCGCCCGCCTGCCGCATCCTCCCCTCTCTTTATCGCACGGAGGAAGGAATCTTTCATTTCCCCGTGCTTTATCGCAACTCCTTGCCCTTTTCTCGAAAGTCTGCTCCCCTCTCTTGATCGCAACCCCTTCGCCCGTCTCCACCGCTCTGCGACGCCCGCCACGCTTGCTTGAATTAGTTTCGTTTTCCGACTGGAAACGCGCCCAGAGCTGTTCTACACATGTGCGCGTCATGCTCGCTCTTGGTGTGTGTGTGTGGTCATAATGGCCGACGGGAGGACTCGCACGCTTTTTCGTGCCGCTCAACAAAACGTCGAAAGTGTGACCGCTTCGCTTGAGCGTAATCCGCGTGTTAGGTGCCGCGTTGCGGAGCACTTGCTCATAGCTGTTGACCACCTGGCAGCCAACTTGCCGCTTCGGGTGTCCTGGTGTAAGGAAAGGACTTAAAGACGCCGAGGAGCATCAAACTAGAACTGAAGAAGACGAGCGGAGAGCAGGTGGCACGAAGGCGACAACAAGAAATGAAGAAGAGAAGAAGAAGGCACGTGCGATTACGAGGCAACTGTGTGCCAATCAGCTGATGACCAGTGATGGCCCATAGAGGTGGCGTGCCACGATTGGGCCACGTGCGACCATTACGTGGCAGTAGGCTTTGTGGCTGGGGACGAGCCGGAGCAGCGGCAGACGGGAGACAGCGGGCCGAAGCGTCGGACGCAGGCGATCCAGGTTCCGGCCAGGGAACGCGGTCGTCCACGCTGCTGCCGTCCAACCACCATCTGGGGCGGCGTTTCCGGCACGAGTACTGCATCTCGGGGCGCGGCCTGGCCTGCTGTTCTCTTCCTTGCCGAGGGCATCGCGGATCTCGGCGAGGCGTCTCCACGGTCAGCCGTTCGACACAGCGATGAACGTGGCCTGGCTAATGGTCACGGTTGCGTCGAGCATCGCGTCTCGGCGCACGATCTTCGCTGGACGGGCTGGCCATGCCCCGCATGGAGCATCGCGTCTCCGATGCGGGTTGACTGCTCCGTGGCCGAACCCTTGCCATCAAGCGCCGGTGTCACGAGAGCGTCGCACTTCAGCAAGGGACGAGCGAGATGTTCTGCCAGGCGAGACGCGGGCGTGTGTACGGAGGACCATGGAGCCGGGCGAGGTTCAGGGTGGCCAAGGATTCAGATGCCAGGAGAGTTGCTGCCTGAATCGAGGATCGCCGAGTGGTGCCGAGCCGTACCGAGTGACGCGCCAGCCTCGGAAGTGGGTCGCGAGCTCACGAGGTGCGCACCCAAGGGTACCTGGCTGTGCCCTGGCCAATGCGACGAACGCCGGTGAGTGAGCTGCCGCCCCGCAGCTGTAGCGAGCAGCATTTCAGCACGGCACAGACGGTGCTGTGCTGGCCAGAACCCGCACGTGGAACCGCTACGCCCGGAAGGTGATCAAAAGCTTGGAAACGAGGTCCGAGGTTGCGCTGGTCAAGGCATCTCCGCCACTGCAGCTCGAGAGTTGAGGCCACGAAGGCAGACGAAACGGTGTGCCGCTCGAGAGGACGAGTTCCTGGCAGCGTTCCTGAGCCGGACGTGAGACCCGTACGTGTCGGCCAGGTCGAGCTCCGGTGTGTCTGTTCAAGGTCCAAGGCCGAGGCCTGCCGAACGGCTCCTGCCTGAGTGCAGTGGCCGGGAGCAGGTTCGTGGACGAGGCCTACCGGGTGTGGTCGTCATGAGGCGTGGCCTGATCCAGGACCTCCGGAGTTGCGACCCTGACTGCTGGGTTGGCCGCGACGTCCGACTCAACGGCGCTGCAGACGGTAGCGTATCCGTGCTTCGTCAGCCGTTCCACCCATGCCATGAAATAAAAAGTTCATGTTAATGATTTCTCGTCCGCTATCAACAAACATAGTGACGAACGTCCGTTAACCATCACAATAAATGGCGAGCCTGCCAGGATCAAGCTCTCGCGTTACCTCTGAGAGCCTCACGTTGTTTGTGTGTGGCGGACGAGAATGGACGACAAGAGAAAGCTAGTTGAGCTAGGGAAGGAGATGGAACTGAGTGGAGAGGCTTTTCTGGCATGGGTGAGCACTGAGAAAAAAAGAAATGAGGAACCAGATAGCGAAAGATCGAGAGGAGGCACGTCTAGCAGCACAGGCGGAGCATGAGCGTGAAATAGCTCGCATGGAGGCTGAAAGGCTCCTCCTCGAAGAGCGGCGTCTGTTCATTGTTGTTTGAGAAAAGTTGTTTTCCCCCTAAACAACTCTTTTGAGCAGGGGGATAAAGGAAAGGACTTAAAGACGCCGAGGAGCATCAAACCAGAACTGAAGAAGACGAGCGGAGAGCAGGTGGCACGAAGGCGAAAACAAGAAATGAAGAAGAGAAGAAGAAGGCACGTGCGATTACGAGGCAACTGTGTGCCAATCAGCTGATGACCAGTGATGGCCCATAGAGGTGGCGTGCCACGATTGGGCCACGTGCGACCATTACGTGGCAGTAGGCTTTGTGGCTGGGGACGAGCCGGAGCAGCGGCAGACGGGAGACAGCGGGCCGAAGCGTCGGACGCAGGCGATCCAGGTTCCGGCCAGGGAACGCGGTCGTCCACGCTGCTGCCGTCCAACCACCATCTGGGGCGGCGTTTCCGGCACGAGTACTGCATCTCGGGGCGCGGCCTGGCCTGCTGTTCTCTTCCTTGCCGAGGGCATCGCGGATCTCGGCGAGGCGTCTCCACGGTCAGCCGTTCGACACAGCGATGAACGTGGCCTGGCTAATGGTCACGGTTGCGTCGAGCATCGCGTCTCGGCGCACGATCTTCGCTGGACGGGCTGGCCATGCCCCGCATGGAGCATCGCGTCTCCGATGCGGGTTGACTGCTCCGTGGCCGAACCCTTGCCATCAAGCGCCGGTGTCACGAGAGCGTCGCACTTCAGCAAGGGACGAGCGAGATGTTCTGCCAGGCGAGACGCGGGCGTGTGTACGGAGGACCATGGAGCCGGGCGAGGTTCAGGGTGGCCAAGGATTCAGATGCCAGGAGAGTTGCTGCCTGAATCGAGGATCGCCGAGTGGTGCCGAGCCGTACCGAGTGACGCGCCAGCCTCGGAAGTGGGTCGCGAGCTCACGAGGTGCGCACCCAAGGGTACCTGGCTGTGCCCTGGCCAATGCGACGAACGCCGGTGAGTGAGCTGCCGCCCCGCAGCTGTAGCGAGCAGCATTTCAGCACGGCACAGACGGTGCTGTGCTGGCCAGAACCCGCACGTGGAACCGCTACGCCCGGAAGGTGATCAAAAGCTTGGAAACGAGGTCCGAGGTTGCGCTGGTCAAGGCATCTCCGCCACTGCAGCTCGAGAGTTGAGGCCACGAAGGCAGACGAAACGGTGTGCCGCTCGAGAGGACGAGTTCCTGGCAGCGTTCCTGAGCCGGACGTGAGACCCGTACGTGTCGGCCAGGTCGAGCTCCGGTGTGTCTGTTCAAGGTCCAAGGCCGAGGCCTGCCGAACGGCTCCTGCCTGAGTGCAGTGGCCGGGAGCAGGTTCGTGGACGAGGCCTACCGGGTGTGGTCGTCATGAGGCGTGGCCTGATCCAGGACCTCCGGAGTTGCGACCCTGACTGCTGGGTTGGCCGCGACGTCCGACTCAACGGCGCTGCAGACGGTAGCGTATCCGTGCGTCATCAGCCGTTCCACCCATGCCATGAAATAAAAAGTTCATGTTAATGATTTCTCGTCCGCTATCAACAAACATAGTGACGAACGTCCGTTAACCATCGCACCTGGTATTCAGCTGTGGAGATGGTAAATATTTCGTGAGTGACAGTGACGACTACATGCGCGTGAAACTGTTTTCGCGAGGCCGACTTTGTCGACAACGGGCCCGATGACGAGCCTGAAGCTTTCGAACTGTGATGACGATTTGTGGCAGCACGTCGTCGACTCCGACCTGAGAGACCGGGAGGGACATCTGTTGCGATGGTTTAATTACGGCCGATGATTATGCCGACACTGCGGAACCGTGCACGGATTGGGGCATTGTGAATGAAGTACGTGGCGAGAGCGATTTGGAGGAATCGGATGGCGAGAACGACGAAACTTGGGAGTCAGTGCCTCATGCAGCTTATGCCGCGGGCCTCGCCGAACGAGCACCCTGCCGTTTTAAATGAATTGAGACCGCCCTTATCGTTTCTGCTATACGAAACACGTGCATCACGGACTTTTTGGGGCATAAAAGTTTGTGTGCTCACTAGCACCTTTTTTTAAAAGCTGTGTTTCATTTACTACGAACTTCGGGATACAGCCAATGGATGCCGCGTCACGCTCAGGTTCGTTATAAGCGGGCTCGACTGTAGCTGGAAATAGACAGATCAAGTTGCCACCAATCTGGCCGCCATTGTTGATGTGGGCTCTGATGTAAAAGTTTGCGTCCGAATTGTACCAAAGCGGCACATTCTAAAAGACAGCGGAAGCAAAAGTGCGTGCATTAGGCGGCTCTAATTCAATGCTTTTTCATTCGTGGGCACTTTACAGAGCGAAACGGCAGTAAATGTTATTAAAACCTGTTTGTTGTAAATTGTTTGTCGTGTGGTCCTTCCAAAGCATTGTTCAACATTGCAAGAAAAAAAAAACTATGGACCTATGGACAGATGAAAGAAGACTGGGACAAACTGCTCTTCTGTCACCCCCCCCCCCGCCCCGTGCCCCTATCTCTGACACAAGCACCCGCATTTCCTTTTTTCATTTTTGAAACTCAGGTCGTGCCGGTCGTGTGTCTGAAGGTCGGCTCTACCGCATGGTACCTGTGAGCTTCTACGAGAACTACCTGCCCGAATACGGCATCCCCGAAATGCAGGTTTGTACTGGCTGGAGTGTTTTTGACTTTTTTGTAGGCTTAGTTACATTCACTTCACCCTGCGGTGCAGTCTTTAACATACTTTCCTAAAATTAACTAGTGGGGACTCTGGCACTGCGATTTTTCAGCCACCAAGGGAATGATGGGTAGAACACTATTTAGCCTAGTTTTCGTGCTTGCGGCTTCGAACGCGCTTGTGGCTTTGTCTGTTAATTGCGTTTTGGTTTTGTTTCGAATAAAAGGATGTACCGTTGTCAGCTTCGCGACCCCATTAGAATATGCGAACCCAAAAAGGTCAAGGGATGGAGCGTAACTACTGAGCCTTTGCTGATCTTCGTCTTCTGGCTAAGCGGATTCAGGCCACACAGAGCCAAACGGAATGTAAAACAGGAAAAATTTTACGAATCCGTGTACTACCCATCATTCCCGTGCTGGTTGAAGTGCCGTGCGTTGCAGCTCCCACCAGCACTAGCGCCAGAGTTCCCTCTAGTGTATATTTAAGAAACTCTGTGGTCTTTGGAACGTCACACTTGTTCTTGATGTTGTCTCTGCATTCCTACAGGCGTTGCATGCGTGTATGCGAATGATAAACGAATGTTCGTCGAGTATGAGCATTGGTTTCTTGATCCGAGCTGACGTTGCCCCAGAACGTTTGATCAAAGTAGCTTGCGCTTCTGATGAGGGACTATTACCTTTGCTCGCACCTAGAGACATTTATTTGGGGTACTAGCACACCTGAGCAGTTCTTGTCTCGTATAAGCACGGTACTACAATGCTTTTGGGTTGTAACCAACCCTCATGTCAGTGATGGGAAACTCTTCTCGCTTATAACCTGGTTGGCTGTTAGTATCAGTGGTCTCACATTGACAGGCTCAAGTGTGTTTGGAAAAAAAAAAAATAAAAAACTGCCACATTCTAATGTCAAGAACCATCTATTCCGCCTTTGAACAACATTTGGCTTACTGTACTTACAGGAGTATAAGACGACTGGAATGTCGGTCGACCCCTCTAAATTGGCATGGCAAGAAAGGAAAAGAATGAGCACATTTAATTTAAAATAATTTTCAGCATATCCACGAAGTGAATGATGATGAGTGGGGCAAAGCTTCAGAGGGATTTATCTGTAAACCGTAAATCCTCTGTCTGTCCGTCCATCTGTCCGTCCGCACCTGCTGAGTGAGTCGTAGAACTAGGTGGTCACGTACCAAGAGACACGCATGTACAGACCCACAACTTTAGGAGCTTTGCCCTTCAAATTCATTTGCGATATTTCGAAGGAAATGTATAATTTTGGTGAGCCAAGGTGGCTTCGCGACAGTGCTTCAAAGCAATGCAGGAGAGCTAGCTTCAAGACATCGCAAGGATCATTTAGAAAGACTTGACGACCAAAACTAGTTTTCGATTCTACGTCGATCCCCCCCCCCCCACCATCTTCGGATTTCAAATAAGACAAAATGGGTCGACCTACAATCATTTAAGTACAGTATTTCTAGCCTAAAGATCTTGCAGTTTCAAGCAGCCGTTTTAGGAGACCCGTTAAAACGTGTAATGGTCATCACCTGTCTTGTCTCTCTACTTTACATTGCTTTGTTCCATTGCTGTATGTGCTGCAGCGCTGCCCGTTGGAGCTGACGGTGCTGAAGGTCAAGAAACTGGGGCTGGACGAGCCTAGGGCCATGCTGGGCCTCTGCCTGGATCCACCGGACCTTGGGGACATTGAACGAGCTGTTCTGGTTCTCAAGGAGGTTGGTTGTTGCAGTGACACCGCGAAATATTGCTCATTAGACACTGTGAATATTGAAAATATGGTAACGTGAGCTCATTCTGTGTTTTAACAAGGAATCAGTGGTTGTTATTGATGTGAAACTGAATAATTCAGTTGTACCGTTGAATCTAGATAATTTCAAACTTGAAGGGGCCCGAAAATTTGTTTGAAATAAAAGAAGTTCGAATTGATGAAAGCTAAATAAACGGAGGGCTCTCCATGCAGTGGCGCATGTGCATTGAGCTAACACACGAGGGGGAAGTTTAGGAAAGCTGACATTTATTCACAAATAACAGGACATCCATTTTTAATTGAAGTAATCGGTGATGCGCGTCTGCACACGTTTGCCTTGCAGCGAGTCAATCAGCATAATTACTCGAATCTAACGCGCACCTTTTTTCCAGTTAAGCGAGTTCATTATTCGCATGCGCATTAAAATCAAGTACGAAAAAAAAAATGAATACGGTCATTCTATTGCCATCGGCATTTCCAAAATGGCCGCCCCCTACGGGCGTCGGCATGGCGCGTCGACCATTTCTTCCTATGTGTTTCCCATGTGCGGCACTTCGTACGTGTACTGAGGAGTTCGTCATCTTGTAGTCCATTGGCGTCGACGGCATGGAAGGGCCAACTCCATAAACTCGACGAGTGCACCACGGTGCCGTTTTTAAAAGAAAAATCGCGTGTGCAGAAACGAACGGGAATCGGGCCGCATCGCGGTCGTTCGGAGTTCCCGAAACGTGCGTGCGTGACTGGCGGAAACAAAAGCAGAAGATTGTCGACAGCAAAGCTTCACGCAAAGGCTTCAGTGGACCACAGCAGGGTCGGTTTCCGCAAATCAAAGAGCTGCTCGGCGAGTATGTGCTTGAGCAGCGAGCGGCACAGCGGCCCGTGACGCCAGAACTGCTCCAAGTGTGGGCTATGCAATTAGCCATAGAAGAAGGGCTAGTGCGGAGCCAGTTTAAAGCGAGCAGGTGCTGGCTAACTAACTTATGAAGAGCAAAGGCTTTTCCCTCCGAAGGCGAATGGGCATATGCGAAAAGTTTCTGGACGAGTACGATGAAAAGCTTCACAGTTTGCAGAGGTTCGTCCTAAACTTGCAGTACAACAACGGCTACCTGCTTGGGCAAATCGGGAATGCCGATCAGACGTCTCTTTGCTTCGACATGCCTGGCACCACAACCGCCGAGAGAAGGGGGTGAAGCAAGTTCGCGTGCTGACATCGGGCCACGGTAAATCTAGAGTGACGGTGTGATGAGTGATGAAAACGACACGACGGAAGTGCGGGGCAAGGCGCTTGTAATGCGCGCGTGAGGTCAGCCAATCAGCTGATGACCTGTGGTGGCCCATAGAGGTGGCGTGCCTGCGATTGGGCCACGTGTGACCATTACGTGACGATAAGCTTTGTGGCTGGGGACGAGCCGAAGCAGCAGCAGACGGGAGACAGAGGGCTGAAGCGTCGGATGCAGGCGATCCAGGTTCCGGCCAGGGAACGCGGCTGTCCACGCTACTTCCGTCCAACTACCAGCTGGAGTGACGTTGCCGGCACGAGTACTGCATCTCGGGGCGCGGCCTGGCCTGCTGTTCTCTTCCTTGCCGAGGACATCGCGGATCTCGGCGAGGCGTCTCCTTGGTCAGAGTTCGGCACAGCAACGTACGCGGCCTGGCTAATGGTCACGGTTGCGCCGAGCATCGTGTCTCGACGCAAGCTGTTCGCTGGATGGGCTGGCCATTTACACGCATGGAGCATCGAGTCTCCGATGCGGGTTGACTGCTCCGTAGTCGCACCCACGCCGTCAGATGCAGTCGTCACCAGAGCGTCGCACATCGGCAAGCGAGCGCATTCTACAGCGCCTTTCCACCGCTTCCTGCCCTGCGCCTCTCGGCGTCTGTCGTACCGCCGATCTGGCCCTCAGGCGCCTTGCAGTTTCGGAAGACGTTAGGCTTGAGAGTTCGAGGGTTGAGGCCACGAAGGCAGAGGAAGTGGTGCGCCGCTCGAGAGGATGAGTTCCTGGCAGCGTTCCTGAGCCGGACGTGGGACCCGTACGTGTCGGCCAGGTCGAGCTCCGGTGTGTCTGTTCGAGGTCGAGTCCGTCGGCCTGTACAAGGTCCAAGGACGGGGCCTGCTGAACGGCTCCTGCCTGGGTGGAGTGGCCGGGAGCAGGTTCGTGGGCGAGGCCTACCGGGTGTGGTCCTCGTGAGCCGTGGCCTGATCCTGGACCTCAGGAGTTGCGACCCTGACTGCTGGGTTAGCTGCGACGTCCGACTCAACGGCACTGTACACGGTAGCGCATCCGTGTCCTGTCAGCCGTTCCAGCCGTGAACCTTTGCCCTCGCGCACGTCGACGACCGCATCATGTCGGGACGATAGGGACCCAAACTGTGAGACAGCGGTTTCTTCTTACGAACCGAGAACTATACGCGCTGGACACTGAGTTAGCGTAGCCGCAAACTTTGCGCAGATTACTGGCGGTCTGACTCTCGTGCATGTTGCGTGATGCTTGGCGTATGAGGTTGGATATATATATAGTTTTATTTTCTCCTGCCACTTCCTTCTCTAGTGTACAATACAAAGCTTCTTTTGTTCGCTTAAATTGCTCATGTTAATCCTTTCTCGTCCGCTATAAACAAACATAGTGACGAACGTCCTTAACCATCACAGATGGCAATGCTCTGTTGCACGTCAGATGGGCACAAGCTTCCCTCGTACCTCATATTTAAACGGAAGACGCTTCCAAAAGGAGTATTTTTTCCAAGTGGTGTGATCGTGTGGGCCAACGAGAAAAATGGGTGCGCGTTGCAATCGATTTCTTACTCTTTTTTTTTTTTTTTCGTCGTGGAAACCGGGTGCGCGTTACAATCGAGGGCGCGGTAGAATCGAGTAAATACGGCAATTTCGCACGCAGCTTGCAAAGGATTTCTACTTCGGCTTCAGCATTCTCCTTGCAAAACAAGATGCGCGCGGAAATGTGCCGTTGTCAGATAGGAAGGACACCCGACGCGAAGCGTTTTGTCCCAGAGTCTCGCGCAACTCATCAACCCATCATCATCCGTACGTCTGTCTCGGCTTTTCCTCCCCCCTCAGCACCGACACTTTCTAAAGACAACAACTGCGTAGCGGAGAGCCGCAGCATGGCCAGCACGGGATGAGAAAGGATGAGCATCTCCACGCGAAGATAAAAGCAATACTTTACGGCAGCTTCTTTTTTTTTTCTCTTTTCGCGCGCGTTGTTGAAAGGAGAAGTGTTACTTGACAGGGACAGGAAAGGAGGAAGCATGGCACCGGCACGTGAGAGACCCCCCCCCTCAAGGTGCAGAGCCGCGCTCCCGCAAGGGGCAAGGGCTGCAGAAGATAGTGCCTTTTTCCTTTCTTTCAACCACACATTCATTCAACCCAACCACAGTTTTCTTTTTTTTTTCCTCTCTTTCTTTGCTCGCGGCATTGGAAGGAGAAGGGTCTTTACGTGACAGGGACAAAAGAAGGAGAAGCGGGACGCGAGCGCGTCACAGATCGGCATTTGAGAGAGAGCAAACATTCCATCGCAGCCTTTTCTTTCCTTTCCATTTCCTTCGCGCGCAGCGTTGAGGTGTCGCAGGTGCCGCCGCGGGATTGGGCGGGGTGCTGAGAGCATTTGCAGAGCGCGGTATGTTTGAATTAACCGTCACAAGTGCTTGCGCGTTTGAAATAATGGCCGTTTTCACCCATTTGAATACACATAGCTTTGACGGGACCTCATCGTGAGTTCGAATTAACCGGAAGTTTGAATTAAGCGTGTTAGAAATGATGAGATTCGACTGTATTTGGCTTGTATCTCGGTTAATTCAGACAGTATTCCACGAGTTCAAGCCTGCAGCATGACAAACATGCCAAGCAAAAAAAGGTAAAGAGGCGCTAGTGTTATATCTAAACCAAGTGGCGACGTCGGCATTGCCAATAGGCGCAAGCAAGGACAGAACCAGAAAACACTTGCTGGAATTGATTTGCCAGAAGCTCGGACCATTGCGCATCAGCTGGCTGCGCTCCTGCGCAACTTGAGTTGTGGCGACTGTGTGAGTCGAGTTGCGAGACTGCGTGGCTGGCGGCCGTGCAACTGTGCGGTTGCCATTCGTGATGGTGTCGATGATGAACGCAGTTCTTGTCTGGAGTGAATGCAAATAATGAAGTTGGGGGCGATAAAAAAAACTAACAAAAAAAAAACGCTTGCATTCAGGTTTTCGATGCGTGTTCAAAAACCCCCCAGATAGTTGGAGCTCCTTTGGATCCTTCACACCTCCACTGCTACCAATCCAATTTAGAATTCCTCTCGCTTAAAACTCCTTAATTTAATCAGCCCTTCACGGTGCTTTGGTAGAGCTTGTGTAACATGGTAGAGCATGTTTTAGTAGAGCTTGTGTAGCTGTTTTTTTTTTTTCATGCTGTTGTTTATTCGGGATATGGTTTGAATTAGGGTTAGGGAAATGTGGGGGTGCTGACACCTTCTGCATACCTGCCAAGCCTCCCGGATTGGCCGGGAGACTCCCGGATTTGGACCGTTTCTTTCGTTTGTACGGTTATGAAAATCTCCCGGAAATCGAAACTTTTGTGTGTGATGCCGTCTTGACAAAAAAAGCAGCTCAATCCGCTCCAGGCTTTTCGAACCTACCCCATTTTATTATGAATGAGTTTTAGAGGCGTTCATCTAAACGTACAGTAAAATCTATGCAAAACCGCGGCAGAAACGAATTCGTAAAATTCCTCCGCGAAATTTCACTGATTCTATAGGGCCTAAATTCGAATGTTCCGAACACATTTCCTAATCGCGGCGGGTGATACGAACTTTAGTACGGAAATAGTCGAATGAAGGCAGAAAGCAGCGTACTCCAATCTTCGTAAGTACGCGTGCAACCGGCGCATGCACTGTCTTCTACAATGTGCGTGATTGTTGTTGCCACAACCGCTGTCGACGGAACCGTAGTCGCTTTTCACGCGATCCTGTATAA